CGATGGAAACGAGACGTATTGTGAAGGGATTCCACACCAAGAAAACCAACTCATTTGTGAGGGCATGTATTGCCTACTCTTTCATTACCATTCCCTCACTCGACGACGTGATACTTCGCCTTCAGCTTTACTTATCGAGTAGTTATGTCTCTCTAATCAATGGATGTTTGCCCCAAACGGACTCATTTCTCAAAACAGCCATAACATTGATTCAACAGTTACCACAATATATTGACTCGAGTGATGGTCGACCCAAATCTACGGATCCATTTCTCTTGTCATACACCTCCCAATTGCTGTCATTCCTATTGATAGTTCCCGTATGTATTGATTATCAAAAATGCTGTTATACTTGAAGTGACAGCAATTGTCCTTTTATTGATAGGACAACCCGGACGGACCCGAACCTTTATATCTGTTTAAAGGATTATTAAATGTGATAAATGAGAGAAAATTTGAGGGCAATTCTGACACAAAAGTATTTATTTTAATAAATTGCTTGAATTATCTCTCGACCGCCTCTCAGGAGTCATATCCCTATCATATAAGCAAAGGTTAGCGAAAATATTAATTTATTAAATAGTTTGTTGTTTATAACGAATATTTGATTTATAGTCGACTCAAACGATACGTTATATGGAAATGAAAGTCAATTTATGGAACAGATAAGTTCTTTGAGTGGAACCGTTCTCAACGATATTCTCGAATATTTGCAGCAACTCTCTGATGAAGGAGTAATTATTGAAACACCACTTTTTCACACAATATTTTACAACTTATTTCTCTTTAAAAGCAATACAAAAGGCAGTCATCGGTGGCTTTGGAGCTGTTCTGTCGGATTATATCTCACGGAGACGTCAAGAAAATGCATAAACTTCTCATCAATTTGTGGCAATTGTCTAAAAAGAACTCTTCGCCTGATATTAAGCGCTCAGTCAGTCATTCATTTCTTTTATAACAACTCTTGTCTATCATTTGTTTTTTATAGGAAATTGCGATTAAATACTTAAGACAAAAGGCCAACCATTCATCAAATCCCATTCTATTGGATCTGTTGTTTAAAATAGACAATAGATCCTAACATACATATAAACAATAGATTTTTATTTTCCTATTTTATTTAATATTCAATTAATATAAAATGTATGTAAATTTTATATAATTTATAAATTATGTGATATAATATCAAATTTTTATATAATTATAAATTAAAAGTAGTTAAATAAAACGAAGATTTTATTACTTGACTATAGTAATTATGTGGTAAACAATATAACCACAGGTGGTATTGAATGAATTAAACATTAATCGATAGTTAGATTCAGGTCCACAATATATATATTTATGCAGAATCCAGAATATTTATATTCTGTACAAGAATTTGTTGTTTTATAGAGTCGTCCGATAGATAGCGTTGAATGCAATGAATGCCGGTTTCTAATAGAAACTTTCTATGCTATCACGAGATAAACACGATATACTGTATGACAACATCTCTATCTCTATAAGCATTGTCTTCACATCTGTTGGCGTCTTGAGTGCAGTTGTGGTCACAAAACTAGCCGTTCCTTATCCTAGCGATCGAGCCGTGCATTGTGTGAGTGATGGCAACCCTAAAGCAGACACCCCTGACGTGTAGCGGACACACCCGACCCGTCGTTCACCTCCAGTTCAGTCCCATCACAGACAACGGCTTTTATCTGATCTCCGCCTCCAAAGGTTTGCATACATTGAGATGTCATGTCATGTCAT